GTGGACTTCAACTCCCAGCATTCCTGAGCCAGCCATGCTGAGGGGAAAGGGAGAGTTTCCAAGCTGAGCCATGGTGGCTTAGGAATTCTGGGAATTGAAGTCCATGAGTCATAAAAGAGCCAAGGTTGCCTACCCCTGGGGTAAGGAGTCCTTTTTTCCTCTTTGAGGGAAAGGTGTCAATCTGAGATCCAGTTTTTCTTCCACTGTGCAATTGGGCTAAAAGAGAAATATATTTTAAGCATTTTCCACGCACGAGACTTATTATTATAGTACATAGCAACACTTCATGGGTTAATAGACATAGACTTTAAACAGAAGTGGGAGAATTAGGAGTTCAGCAGAGTGATGACAGGAGGGGAAAAAAAACTGCCTGTGTCTTGTTGTCTCTTCTAGTCTTCTCTTCTGGACTCTTCTACTTTTCCCAAAGAGACTTTACTAGACTCTTCTAGTAGAGTGGTGTATTTCTCTTAGATTTGTTTTTCATAAGTCATTTTAGGGGGGGGGGGGTAAGGTAGTCACTGAAAATCACTTCCCTGTGGGTCAGGGCACTGTCATGGTTTGGCTATCTGTGATACAAGTGGTCCTCGACTTAACGACCATAATTGATCCCAACTCTTTCATTGCTAAGCAAGATAACTTGTTAAGTGCATTTTGCTCCATTTTACGTCCTTTTTTTTGCCAAGGTTGTTAAGTGAACCACTGCAGTTGTTAAGTTAGTGAACACCTGCCTCCAGAGGCGGTGAATGCTCCAACACTGGAAGTTTTTTAAGAAGAGACTGGACAGCCATTTGTCTGAAATGGTATAGGGCAGGGGTAGGCAACCTTGGCTATTTTATGACTCGTGGACTTCAACTCCCAGAATTCCTGAGCCAGCATAGCTCAGCTTGGAAACCTCTCCCTTTCCCCTCAGCATGGCTGGCTCAGGAATTCTGGGAGTTGAAGTCCACGAGTCATAAAAGAGCCAAGGTTGCCTACCCCTGCCTTACCCAAACCTACCCAAACGCCTGGGATTCCCTGGATTACTAAACGCCTGGGATTCCCTGGAGACTCATTCCCACAGTCCACGGGCAGGCTGGCAAAAGGGCGGAGAAGCGAGAAGGGGTTTGGGCAGTCCCGGCCCAGGGCAGACCTGCGGCGGGAACGATCCTCTGCGTGGTTCCCCCCACCCCCCCCCCCACCCCGCAGGAGAGGAAGAAGCTCGTGCCCGCCTTAGTCCGAGCCTAGCCAGCCGTTTCGAAAGACGTTCCTCCCGAAACGCCCCTTGCATTTTGGCTTCCTTTGAAATGAATCCCAGGAAATCCAGCCTGGGATCGAACTTGAGCGTCGGCCTGAGTCGCCGGGAAAGTGGCTTCAGTTTTCCTTCGCACGCACGCACGCACGCATTCGGGGTCAGGCGCCTCCCTGCCGGGCCTCGGAAGAAAGGCGCAAAGCAAGACAGGGGCGGCGTCTCGGCCCTTCGCTCTGCGCCCAAAGAGCTCCTCCGCTGCTGGGTCCCGGGGGTGCCTTTCAAGGCAGAAGCTGGCCTGCGCGGATTCTGGAGCCTCCGGGCCAAGGGCGATCCGGACGAGGGAATGGACCCAGGGGCGAGAAGGTGCCACGGTCTCCCCTGACCTGGTGTTGTGGGAATTGCAACAGGCGCTTCTGGCCAAAGCACAGCCGAGCTGCCCGCCCCGCTTTCCCTGGCCTTGCGCTCGATCTTGGCCACTTGGAGTAGAGTAGAGTAGAGTAGAGTAAAGTAGAGTAGAGTAGAACAGAACAGAATAGAATAGAATAGAATAGAATAGGAGACAGAATAGAATAGAATAGAATAGAATAGAGTAGAATAGGATTAGCGTAGAGTAGAGTAGAATAGAATAGAATAGAATAGAATAGAATAGGAGTAGAGTAGAATAGGAGTAGAGTAGAATAGTAGAGTAGAATAGAATAGAATAGGAGTAGAGTAGAATAGGAGTAGAGTAGAATAGAATAGAATAGAATAGAATAGAATAGAATAGGAGATAGAATAGAATAGAATAGGGGTAGAGTAGAATAGAATAGAATAGGAGTAGAGTAGAATAGGAGTAGAATAGAATAGGAGTAGAGTAGAATAGTAGAGTAGAATAGAATAGAATAGAATAGGAGATAGAATAGAATAGGAGTAGAGTAGAATAGTAGAGTAGAATAGAATAGAATAGGAGATAGAATAGAATAGAATAGAATAGAATAGAATTTATTGGCCAAGTGTGGTACTACTACTACTACTGCTAATAATAATAATAATAATAATAATAATAATAATAATAATAATAATAATAATAATAATAATAATAAAGTTGGAAGGGACCTTGGAGGTCATCTAGTCCAACCCCCTGCTCAGGCAGGAAACCCTATACCATTTCAGACAAATGGCTGTCCAGTCTCTTCTTAAAAACTTCCAGTGTTGGAGCATTCACGGCTTCTGGAGGCAGGTTGTTCCAGTGGTTAATTGTTCTAAGTGTCAGGAAGTTTCTCCTTAGTTCTAGGTTGCTTCTCTCCTTGATTAGTTTCCACCCGTTGCTTCTCGTCCTGCCTTCAGGCGCTTTGGAGAATAGCTTGACTCCCTCTTCTTTGCGGCAACCCCTGAGATATTGGGACACTGCTATCATGTCCCCCCTCATCCTTCTCTTCATTAGACTAGTCACTAGACATACCTAATTCCAGCAACAGTTCCTTATATGCTTTAGTCTCCAGTCCCCTCCCTAATCATCTTAGTTGCTTTTCTCTGTACTCTTTCTAGAGTCTCAACTGTCTCACTTATGGCTCAGAGAATAAGATGAATGCAACCTTCTGAAGCACATCACAAGAAAGAGTTTCCAGGATATAGTAGTGCCATAGTTAGATATAGATGGGAAATGGCCTGAAACTAAAAATGTAGGGATAGAGTAAGATTCAAACTGCTGCTATTTTATGTATATGAGAATTCTGAGAGTAAGTGCTATTTAAGTCACTGGGTCATACTATTAATATCTAAGCATGAAAATGGTGGCTGGATCCACAGGAGAAACTACATCACTAATACTCTAAATACATTTCAGCTTACTGTGTGGTACATACCCAGCCAATGAAATTACAGTATTCTGCAAACTCAGAAAGTTAGGCTAAGGAAGCAAAAGTTTCTGCAGTTATCCATCGGTAAGAAGGTCATAGGAACAGAACTAGTGTGTGTGTCTATGTCTGTGTGTGTCTGTGTCTGTGGTCAATTTATCATTCATATCTGAAGAAGAAGCCCATGTGTGAATGAAAAGAAAAAAAAAGCCAAGGCCAAGTGGCATTTATAGACGGAAGGAAGTAAATGTTGTGTATTACTCTTTCCTCCCCGCCTTACAAGGAGTTCACCTCAATGGGGAAGTATGAAAACAGCTGGGAAGGGCAGAAAAGGTTTCTGGGGAGGCAGGCAGGCAGACTGAGCACCCCATCTTAAAAGTTCAGGAGCTCGAGCCTACCATAGCTCCTAAAGGAAAGAGAAAAGATAAATGCAATCCTTATCCTTATCCTTGGGATGAGCTATCTATAGTAGGGCCAAATGAAAACCAATCCATTGCTGGCTGCGTTATCAGAGAGTTGTTCAGCATCACAGAAATAAGTGATCACAGATCCTGGGCTACTAGGATCTTACTCCAACCCCCTACCTAGACGCTGTTACGACACACAGCCTGTTTGGAAACTGTTCTGGAAACTCTCAACCAGCCCGCGCGCCTGGGTGATCGCTTCACTTGCTCGCGCCCAAGAGAAGGAGAGCTGGGTCACTGAACGATTTATGGGTGGCAATCAAGGCTGGATGCCAGACTGCTATTTGAAGGCGATTAGGATTCAATTAGAAAAGGTTTCCTGGACGGAGGGGTCCCGGGAGGGTAAACAGGCAGCTATTTCAGAAATGTGCTAATCCCAGGTCTTGTGACAACCATCAGGCCAGGCCTGCAGCACGGATCAGCTAGGGCGAGGCCAGTTACGGCTGGCAAAGTCCATGTGAGACAAGGCAGCGGAGTGAGATTTTCTGTCTCTGTTTAGGTTACTTCCACATATAGCAGTCAGGTTTCTAAGAGTGGGTCAGCCTTATTGATATTCCTTTAAGACAGGGGTAGGCAACCTTGGCTCTTTTATGACTCGTGGACTTCAACTCCCAGAATTCCTGAGCCAGCATGGCTCAGCTTGGAAACCTCTCCCTTTCACCTCAGCATGGCTGGCTCAGGAATTCTGGGAGTTGAAGTCCACGAGTCCTCAAAGAGCCAAGGTTGCCTACCCCTGGCCTAGGGCCTAGGCCGCTTTATGACTCGTGGACTTCAACTCCCAGAATTCCTGAGCCACCATGGCTCAGCTTGGAAACCTCTCCCTTTCCCCTCAGCGTGGCTGGCTCAGGAATTCTGGGAGTTGAAGTCCACGAGTCATAAAAGAGCCAAGGTTGCCTATCCCTGCTTTAAGAAATTCAGATACGGATGCAATGCGTTCAGATGGACAGAGCTCTTCCATCTTAAAAGACTCATTTGATCCTTGCAGGTGCAGCCAACTTTACAACTTCTGGAGGAAATCCCAGGCCCCAACTGGACAGGGTTCCTTCTGAATCCTGACTCTTTTGAATACAGATTCAGACATTCAGTTGCTGCAGTCCCACTTCCTTTGGACCTTCCAAAACTAAATACCTTGAAAACCTTTCCTCAGATCCAACTGGGTCAAGTAAATGGTTCAGGGTGGTTTGTAAACCAGGCCCGAGCAACTGCTGCCTTCCGCTTCTGTTCCCTACACCGGACTCACCTATTGAGTTCTTTTTATACAATTAAAAAAAAACCCCACCAAAATGACCAAATTCCACAAGAATACTTTCAGACCTTCTGGTTTAAATAGCACCTTCAGTTTTTGTAATGTGGTTTTTTTTCACTTGATTTACCTCAGAAAATATATTCTGCTAGGCACAATACTTGGGGAGAGAGGAAACATGGGCATTTAACTTATAGGAAATGTATCTGTGTAAACTGAATTCAGGCAGATCGGCGTCCTTTTCCTCAGAGACTTCTCAAAGGGAGTAAGAAATTTGGATCCTCAGCATTTGAAAGTCTAATTCAGTGGTTCTCAACCTGTGGGTCGGGACCCCATTTGGGGTCGATCGACCATTTCATGGGGGTCGCCAAGCAAGGCTGTCCGCCATTTTTTTTGTCCGCCATTTTTTTCCCCTTTTCCGGCAGGTGCCTTACCTCCCTTGGGCTGGGCCAGCTGGTGGTCGGCCTGCTCCATCTCTGCCGCTTGCCAGCTACACCTCGGCCAGCGCAGGGGGCGGAACCACGCATGCGCGGCGCTCCCAGGCAGGGAAAGTCCTCGACTTACGACCGGTTTAGTCCTCGACTTACGACCGGTTGGGGTCGCGGCATTAAAAAGGTTAAGAACCACTGGTCTAATTGTTTCGACAAGTCAGGTGCAGTGAGCAAAAGAGGAAACAGGAACCAGCCCAAGGTATTTCCAACCCAGGCGGAATGATGCAAAGCGTGCGCCCACATCATGCTGGCCTTCCTGGTTATTTTTATTTTTCAAGAATTCTGTCCAATAAAATTTCATTGCCCATTAAGTAATCCCTGAAACGAGCCTATAATGAGCTCTAATTGCTACGACTAGTTGAGCCACGTGGAAGGATTTAGAAAGTATTAAGGCAGTTGGGTACAGAGCGCGGGTTGTTACCTCGCCATTACTTTCATAATTCAAGGAGAAAATTAGTCCTTTTAAGGGAAAATCCTTTGATTCCCCTTCATCCTGCTCGGGGTGACAGAATATAGCTTTGTCTGCTTTTAAGGCGGTGTAACAAATGAGAATGTAACAAAACCTCTCCCCTTTTTTAATTGCTAAAAGAAGAGAGAAGAAGAAAAGAAAAGAAAGAGAGCCAGAACTTTTAAAAGGAACATCAGCAATTCCTGCATTGCCTCATTCACACAAATCTTTTTTTTTCCCCTAGAAAAGAAGGCAAGCACAACCCAACAAGCACGTATGGAGGGGATTCATTCTATGGAATTCACTAGGACTGTCTTTTGAGGGCCGTCCCTATCTTGGTGTAACCCAGCGTTTCTCCACCTCGGCAACCTTAAGATGAATGGACTTTTACTCCCAGAATTCCCCAGGAAGCATGCTGCCTGGGGAATTTTGGGAGCTGAAGTCCACATATCGTAATGCTGTCAAGATTGAGAAAACCCTGGTCTAACCTAACCTTGGCACAAACATGCACAGGTGACCACCTGGTTCTGCCATTTCCCCATTGCTTTCACTTTATTCGCCTCTCGTGACTATAATAATAATAATAATAATAATAATAATAATAATAATAATAATAATAATAATAATAATAATAATAATAATAATAATAATAATAAAAAAGTTGGAAGAGACCTTGGAGGTCATCGAGTCCAACCCCCTGCTCAGGCAGGAACCCTACATCAGCCTTAACTGTACCTCTGTTGAAGGAACATTTTGCTCTCATCGTGATACCCCATCCAAAGATAACCCCTAGATCAGGGGTAGGCAACCTTGGCTCTTTTATGACTCGTGGACTTCAACTCCCAGAATTCCTGAGCCAGCATGGCTCAGCTTGGAAACCTCTCCCTTTCCCCTCAGCATGGGCTGGCTCAGGAATTCTGGGAGCTGAAGTCCACGAGTCATAAAAGAGCCAAGGTTGCCTACCCCTGCCCTAGATGGATAAAGGTTGTTAGGCTTTGCTCCCTTTATCTTAGAGCAGTGATGGCGAACCTTTTAGAGACCGAGTGCCCAAACTGCAACCCAAAACCCACTTATGCATCGTCGGGTGCTGGGTGGGCGTGGTCCATTGGCTGGGTGTGGCTGCGGTGGTAACGGCAGACTGGGTGGGACTAAAAAGTTCAATCAATCAATTCCAACTTTGCAAGATCTTTTTTTTTCCCCGCGAGAAGTTGAAATTGACTGATTGATTGAACCTTTTTTTTTTTTTTGCACAGCTGAAGGCCTAGGATTGGGGCGACACGTACCCACAGAGAGGGCTCTGAGTGCCCCCTCTGGCACCCATGCCATAGGTTTGCCACCACTGAGATATAGAAATGGTTTGATACTGTCTTTTAGGATAGATGATAGATAGATGGATAGATAGATAGATAGATAGATAGATAGATAGATAGATAGATAGATAGATAGATAGATAGATAGATAGATAGATACAGTAGATAGATGTCAGATAGATGATAGATAGATAGATAGATAGACAGAAGACAGATATATCAGATAGATAGATGATAGATAAATAGATAGATAGATAGATAGATAGATAGAGATAGATAGAGATGATAAATAGATAGATAGATAGATAGATAGATAGATAGATAGATAGATAGATAGATAGATAGATAGATAGATAGATAGATAGGTAGGTAGGTAGATAGATAGATAGATAGATAGATATGAGCTCCAATCTTCATCTTCTTTAAAGAAGTCTCTGGAAGAAGACACTATTAATATGATCTCCAGGGTTTTCTGACACATTGTAAGAAACTAATCTCGGGTGGTTAGAGGGATCTAAGCTCTTCAAAGGCCATGGTTTCAGGAATGTGTAACTGTGCTTAGAGGAAACAAACCTGGTTTCCCAGTATGTGCTTGGCAATCGCATTTTCAAGCAAGTAGCTGCCACATATGCTGGAAGCACAACTCTCCTATTTCCCACAGAGTTGGCAATGTTCGCTGAACAAGAGCACTAGGTTATAGGCAGCTATATATTTGTTTGTTTCACTGTTGTTGTTTTTTTTAAAAGAACTATCAAAATGACTAGCCTTGCTTTCAGCCAGAGTACTTGGGTTGCACTGGCAGTTTCCAGGTTAGTGCTCATGAACTGCTGCATTTGGGAACAATGGTGCAGTTACTTCGCCCATGTGGTATAGCCCGGATAATGCCCAATGGATTCCTTCCTCCCAGTTTTTTATTGGACGACCGGTACAAAGAAGACAATTTACATATTGCATCGCTGTAATATTGACATATAGTCTACATCTCAAAGTGAGAGTACCACTTTGGTTTTGGGGACACCAGGTGCATGATGATGATCGTGGTTATATTACACACAGGACAATCCTAATTGTATGTTCTCCATGGCCATCTATAAGTTGGGTCCATGTTCTGCCAACCATGAGGTCTTCTTGGTCACTTGATAGCAGCAGTGACTTTTGCTTTTACCCTATTTTAAAATGGTTGATTGATTTTTCCTGCTTTGCTCTGCAGCATCAGCTGGACTACTTTTGAACAGCACTTTAGCATCCATAGGCATTAAGGCAGGGGTCTTCAAACTTGGCCCTTTTATGGCTTGTGGACTTTTGAAGTGTGCCTGGCTGAGGAATTCTGGGAGTTGAAGTCCACAAGCCATAAAAGGGCCATGTTTGAAGACCCCGGCGTTAAGGAGTTGTGGAGGAACATTAAGAGGACTCCCTCCAAATTTTATTCCACAGAATTTCTCCACATCTATGGGTTATCAAGTGGGCTATTTTTGAACAGGGCTTCAATGCTTTTTCAGACAAGCATTAGACCTATATTCAGAAGCAACCTCTGTTATGTAACGGGCATGGAAGAAACAAGCTCTCGCCCACTTCCCCATGTGACCCACCTCTTTTGAGCCTGCCATCTAATATTCGAACAATGTGATAAGTGACTAAATCCATGATTTCAATCACTTGTCTGCGGTTGTTCAATCTTTCCCCACCACACATATAACTAAAACATATAAGGAACGGTTGCTGGAATTGGGTATGTCTAGTTTAACGAAGAGAAGGACGAGGGGGGACATGATAGCAGTGTTCCAATATCTCAGGGGCTGCCCCAAAGAAGAGGGAGTCAAGCTATTCTCCAAAGCGCCTGAAGGCAGGACAAGAAGCAACGGATGGAAACTAATCAAGGAGAGAAGCAACCTAGAACTAAGGAGAAACTTCCTGACAGTTAGAACAATTAACCAGTGGAACAACCTGCCTCCAGAAGCAGTGAATGCTCCAGCACTGGAAGTTTTTAAGAAGAGACTGGACAGCCATTTGTCTGAAATGGTATAGGGTTTCCTGCCTGAGCAGGAGGTTGGACTCGATGACCTCCAAGGTCCCTTCCAACTTTATTATTATTATTATTATTATTATTATTATTATTATTATTATTATTATTATTATTATTATTATTATTATTATTATTATGGATCATCGCACAGTCAGCCAGATGTTCAGAATGGATTTGGCATTTTGTCTACCTATCGAGTCCTTCCCAAGGACCTGGGATAGGCAGATGTGGATGTTTGATATTATTATTATTATTATTATTATTATTATTATTATTATTATTATTATTATGTATCTGATCTGTTTTTAAGTAGTTTCAGAAAAGGCCGACTATAAGACCTTTGAGTATAATTTTACTTATACTGGTAGTCCTCACATTACAACAGTTCATTTAGTGACCGTTTGAAAATACAGCGGCACTGAAAAAAGCAACCTATGACCATTTTTCACACTTAAAACTGTTGGTCTTGTGAGCAAACCTCAAATGCTTGGCAACTGACTCCTGTTTATGATGGCTGCTGTGTCCCGGTGTCATATGACCATCTCACAAGCAAAAGGTCAATGGGGAAGCCAGATTCACTTAACAACCACGTTACTCATTTAGGAACTGCTGTGATTCACCTCACCGAGGCGGGAAAAGTCGTAAAATGGGGCAAAAGTCACTTCACAAACGTCTCATTTACCAACAGAAATTTTGGGCTCAGCTGTGATCGTAAGTTGAGGACTACCTGTATTCTTGGGGTAGGGGAAGTGGTGGTACCGGCGGTTTTATTTTTCTGTTCAGAAAGTTTACAAACTAATGGTCGTCTCTTCTTCACTCCCTCTGATGTGTAGTATGTGTGTGTGTGTGCGTGTGTACACACGCCTGTGCACCCGTTTGCTCCACCTCCCTTTCATGAGGCCATTCTCAAAGCGTGAACAAGCCCCGGAATGTTTTATTGAAACCTCTTAGTTGACTTAGTTGTAGCCATCCTTTTTCTCCTAAGCGTGGCATTGTGAGATGGCTGCTGTGGCACCTCTTCCCCAATCTAGCCCCCCGATTTCTCCATTCTCGGTAACCAGGCAACACTTGCTGAATACCCAAAATTGAAAAGAACCGCTTAGTCTCCGAGAAAGTCCTCAATAATAGTGGGGGAAAGAACAAAGATCCAGGAGACAACAAAATGCCACAGGGGTGACTTTTCGAGAGCAATTATCTCTCATTAATCAGAAGAACAGCTGCAATATTAATTTTCTCGCTTTCTTCCTTGCTTTTCAAAGTGTTGTCTCCCCTCTCCTCCCACCCCCAGCACTCCCAACATTTGAATAATCATAGATTTTTTTTTTGACTTTGCATAGAGAAGCCACCGTTTCCGAGGCGGAAAACTGCAAGACCGATGCTGAAGAAATAGTTGGAGGTTTTAAGGTTTTGAGGAAGGAACGAGAGTGAAAATGTTAATCTCAGCCCCTTTTCTCTCTCTAAAAACAAAACAAAAAAAAATGATTCCCTTTGGATCAAACCGATCCATTCTTTTTCTTCTTCCCCTGATTCATTTTTTGCACTTTTCAAAAGGAAGACATGAACAAATCAGTGGCGGTAGAGCAGACATGTCAAACACAAGGCCCGGGGGCCGGATGCGGCCCACGAAGTGGTTTCATGTGGCCCGTGAAGCCATCCTGGAAACAGTGAGGGAACGGCCCCCTCTGCCTTGGCCCTGGCCCAGGTCGGCCGGGAGCCAATGTGTACAATTTTGTGGTGGCCATCTATGCTGAAACGCATTCAGTCTTAGCACCACAAGGCCATCTGGAAAGAGCGAGGAACCAGCCCCTGCCGTGTCGGCCCCGCCCCCTGGGTGCATGCTGGGGAGGTGTCACCCTTTGTGAGGAATGAAGAAATGCACCATTGCCTGCAAGTGGCCAGCAAATGGCCCTCGCCTACTTCACATATCCAGCTTGATGGGCTCCGGCGGAGGGGTTTCAGCAGACAGTGAGGCTCCTCCAGNACAGGTGGGTGGCCCAGCGCTTGGGCCGCCGCCGCTGCCGCCACCGAGCCGGGCTGCTGCTGCTGCTGCGGGGCCGGCTGCTGCTGCCCGTGGCTCATCCGGGGGCAGAAGTGGCCCTCGCCGCCCGGCGCGAAGTGGCCCTTGAGCAGCGGCAGGGCCACGGTGGCTCCCCCTGCTCCTCCTCCTCCTCCACCGGCCCGCGCCGAGGCGTGCAGGTGCGAGGTGACACAGAGCGGGCAGACGCAGAAGGAGCCGCCGCCGCCGCCGCCGCTCTTGCGCGACGGGCAGGCGGGCCCGCCGGCTACCGACATGACCAAGGGCGCCGGCACGCCCAGCGGGATGAGGAAATCCTGGCCGGGGGGCGGCGGCGGCGGCGGCGGGGGCGGCTCCGGCAGGGAAGGCGCCGGCCTGGCCGCCGCCGCCGCGTCCTTGACGATGAGCGAGTCCACATAGAAAGAGCGCGACATGGCCGGGCAGGGGGTGGCTCGCCTGCGCCAAAAGTCCCTGGGGGCTCGCTCGGAAGGTGCTTATGGCTGGGAGGCGAACAAAGGGGGGCTCGCCAGAGGGCTGGTCTTAAAAGAGACCCCCCCCCTCCTTTTTTCCTCTTCTCGCTAGACCTCCCCTGGATCTCTCTCCCCCCCCACGCACACACACACACCCCACACAACCCCACACCAGCCCCATCGCCTACTCTACTCCGGGGCCGCGATTTATAGTAACTACTTTACGCACGTGATGCCTTGGCGAGCGGCGCGTCTCCAAAAAGCTGCTTGTTCCGAGCCCTTTCAGAGGGTTCCCCCTCCCTCCCCGAAACAAAGCCTCTGTGTGTGTGTGTGTGTGTCTGTGTGTGGGGCGCGTGGGGGGGGCAGGCTTAGCGAGAGGCGGCTGTGTGTGTGTGTGTGTGTGTGTGTGTATGTGTGGTTAATTCATTGGGGGTTCGCGAGGGGCGGCCTCTGCGCTCCTGCGCCCCCGCGGAGCGTCCAGGAGGAGGCAAGTTGCAACTTCGCCCGCTCCTCGCCGGTCCCGGTTGAATTCGAGGCCGGAGGCGTTGTCCCCCCCCCCCCTCCAGCCCTCCAACGCTTCTCCTTTCCCCTTTCGTTGGTTGTTGCCTACCTTGTGTAGACTTGGGCTTGCCGGGCGCGCTCACCTGAATTTGCCCGGCGTCTGGTTGTCCACCACACAACGGACCCCCCCTACAGAAAAGGACTGTATGGGCTCAGTACGCTAAGTCACCTCTTCTCCCCCCCCCCCTCCACAAACGAATTGTAAGTGGAAACTAAACAAACTTCTGCCAGTGGTCCAGATGCAGACACACACACACACCTCGGTAACCGTCCCGGGATACGAACGGCGCCGCCGAAGTGTAGTTTCAGCGCTACATCCTGCACAGGTGCGCCTCTAACGAGGGAGGGATTCACGGCTACTGTCTGATTCTAGGCGATCCAGAGGGACCCAACCCAAGTTCGCATCTTTCCCCCCCCCCCCAAAGGGGGTGCCGCGTTGGGAAAAAAAAAAAAGCCAGGTTGTGTTTCCAGGGCAGTCTTTTTCTAACCAGGTGGTGCGCTGAAGGTGAAAAGTCCTTCGGTCCACCTGATGCAATATAAATGCAATATAAATGCAATAAATGCAATAAATGCAATAAACCAACTGAGCGCCACATTGGGGGAAAAAAAGGGTTTGGAAAAAAATCCAGCCCGCCGCTGGGTTCTTCATTTTCATTTAATTGGTGAGGTGCCCCATCGCTAGTCTGGACAAAAGGCCCCTTTCAATCACGGGGTTGATTGATTACACCCCACCCACCCCCAGATATAGATTCCACACCCACGTCCGTTTGGAACAAGCCCTTTTGATTTCAGTGGGAGTTACCTCCGAGAGTAAAGGGCTTTGTGGGTTCAAGACTGGACTTTTCCCGCGGGGTAGACCAGAATAGGATACAAAGGTAGCGGGTGATCTTTTATTTTATTTATTTATTTATTTATTATATTTTTACCCCGCCCTTCTCCTTGCGGACTCAGGGCGGCTAACAGCCTAATAAAAACAAATACAAAAGTACAAAATACTACCATTAAAACGTAATTAAAAGGAAATATTAGATCTTTTAATTCTCAAGATATAAGGGGCGTAGCTTTTCCCTTCGGGGGATTTCGAAGCTCCTTTGCTCCTCTTGACACGCATTCACACACACACACACACACACACAGAGGGGGGGAAGAGAGAGGGGGGGTGGAGGGAGAGAGAGAGAGAGGGAGGGGGAGAGAGGAGGAGAGAGAGAGGGAGAGGGAGAGAGAGAGAGAGAGAGAGAGAGAAGGGAGAATGTTCATCAGAGAGCTAGGCGCCCAAGAACGCCTTTGTCCCTTTTCTAATTACCCACTGATTTTTATTTCGTACTAGCTGTACCCGGCCACGCGCCAGTTGCTGTGGCTCAGACAGGTTAAATGTTTTTACCTGTCACAGGTGTGACATCTATATAATAGTAGGTATATAAAAACACGCACGTATTCGAATGCAACTGTTGTGTCAAAACTTCAAAGCAATCGGTGAAGAACTTTCGGAGATTTAAGATTTTGAACAAACGAACATTTACATTTTTATTTATATCGATAGAAGAAGATAGAAGGTAGCAGTTAGCTCTCATGAATTCAGTGCAAGACAGGGATCTTAGTCCCTTTTTACTTTGGAGTGAGTCCCAGTTACACCAGAGCTTACACCTCTGAGAAAATGTGGGTACACTCAACTCGGCTGGGATCCCTTGTTTGAAATGATCAGACAGATGTTTTTCATTCAAGGCCAAAAACAAGTAGGAGGCCCTCAGTAATCTACTAATCCCAAGGATTACTTCATTATATAGGATTTCTCACCTCCAACTTATTGGGAAATTGACTTCAACGGGTAAGAAAGAGTTGAGTAAATCAGCCAGAGGAATATAAGGCTAGACAACCTCTGGATTTCCACTGAGTAGTTGAATGCAATCTGATAGCTTTCTAGTGGCTGCCACTCTCACATTACAGGATAACAGAGTTGGAAGGGTCACTTCTTTGAACCTCCAGCCTTCACTCGAGATTTGTGCATCCTAAGCTCAGCCTTGCGTAGCTTCACAGTCCAAACGGCTGGGAGGGCAGAGCTGTTGAAGTAGAGAGATATGCAATTGGCTTCGGGGTGTAAGTCCAGAACAAGCCAGCAAGTAATAATAATAATAATAATAATAATAAAAATAACAACAACAACAACAATAACAACAACAATAGTAATAATAGTAATAATAATAATAGTAATAGTAATAATAATAATAAAAAACACCCCAGACTTAACAATTGTCGATAAGAAAGACAAAAAAGTCTGGATAGTGGACGTGGCAGTGCCTGGAGAAAGCAGAATAGACGAGAAAGAACTGGAGAAGATAACAAAATACAAAGACCTACAAATAGAAATAGAAAGACTGTGGCAAAAGCAAGCAAGGGTAGTACCAATAGTAATAGGCGCCTTGGGTGCAATCCCAAAACAACTGGAGCACCACCTGAACACCATTGGCATTGACAAATTCGCCATTAGTCAATTGCAAAAGGCAGCCTTACTAGGAACTGCTTCCATCCTGCGATGCTATCTGTAATACCATCAAACATCCACATCTGCCTATCCCAGGTCCTTGGTAAGGACTTGATAGGTAGACAAAATGCCAAATCCAATCTGAACATCTGGCTGACTGTGCGATAATCCATAATAATAATAATAATAATAATAATAATAATAATAATAATAATAATAATAATAATAATAATAATAATAATAATAATAATAATAATAATTTCCTCCAGAAGTTGTAAACTTGGCTGCACCTGCAAGGATCAAATGAGTCTTCTAAGATGGAAGGGCTCTGTCCATCTGAACGCACTGCATCCGTATCTGAATTTCTTAAAGCAGGGATAGGCAACCTTGGCTCTTTTATGACTTGTGGACTTCAACTCCCAGCATTCCTGAGCCAGCCATGCTGAGGGGAAAGGGAGAGTTTCCAAGCTGAGCCATGGTGGCTTAGGAATTCTGGGAATTGAAGTCCATGAGTCATAAAAGAGCCAAGGTTGCCTACCCCTGGGGTAAGGAGTCCTTTTTTCCTCTTTGAGGGAAAGGTGTCAATCTGAGATCCAGTTTTTCT